AATGTATGTACTTATAAAGTATATACTTATAACTTGTACTTATATAAATTTAACTTACATACTTATATAACATATACTTGACATAAATCATAAGTAATAATTTTTATTTGGCGTGGTTTTAAGTGAAAATAGCGAGGTCAATTTTACCCAAGTTCAGTTTTCAGTAAGTTTGCTTGCACCTACGCATTCCAGCAAAACCTATTCATATATTCGAAACTTCACAGTAAAGTCTTGTGCTCATAGCAAACTCCATTCAGTAATAACTTCATTACCTAAAACAGACAACACCAAATTATTTCATAAAATCTGTTTCCATAAAGCAAGCCAAAAACTGCCAGCTCCTTTGGCAGAAGCCTATTGGTATTTTTTGGGTAATTATAGGCACTCTGACTTCTAGAAGGCTTACTGACTGATTTGGGGTCTTGGTGGGGTCCCAACCAGACGATTTATGTTATATCTATCTTGTCTCCATCCACGTGATATACAGTACAAAAACCTTACCCCCTTGAAAGGGTTAACTGCTCATCTATTTCACCCAGCTTAATTTCACCCAATTAATGCAGCAAATTAAAAGCTACTGCTTGGAGTAAAAACTCTAAACATAAGGAGTCAAAACAACACTTAAAGGGAACTGTGATTTTTCTAAACTTTTCTCTCTCTCTTTTTAAATATATGTAAGCATTGTTTGGGGACATCGTTAAAAATCTTGTCTTGGTTGTTACCTTTTTCTAGAGGCCAAATTATGTTGGTCACTATTTATGCTCCAGGGCCAGGTTTCCCAGGAAGGCAATTGTCAATCACATATCCAAACGTTATGAACCAATCACATAAGCCCTCTGTGTTAGTCACAGAGAAACAGAACCAGTAGGATGTGTTTACATGAGAGAGATTTATTTTAAGGAATTGGCTCATGCAATTGTAGGGGCTAGCAAGTCCAAAATCTGCAGGGTAGGCTGCCAATCTGGAGACCTGTGGAAGAGTCCATGTTGCAGCTCAAGGTCAACGGCAGCCTGGAGGCAGAATTCCCTCTCCCTTAGGGAAGTCAGTCTTTTTCCGTTAACGCCTTCAACTGATTGGATGAGGTCCACCCACGTTATGGAGGGTAATCTGCTTGACTCAAAGTCTACTGATTTAAATGTTAATCTCATCTAAGCAATACTTTTACAGCAACATCTAGACTAGTGTTTGATCATATATCTGGGTACTGTGGCCTAGCCAAGCTGAAACATAAAATTAACCATCACACCTTCCCCACATCATACGGTGGAACTTGGGCCCTCATTCAAAGCACTTAGGCTTAGTGACCCCTGGGGGGCTGCCTCCAATAGAGGCAAGCCCATGTCCCCACAGCTGCCACAGGGCAGCTTGGCCATTTTACAGATGAGGAAACCAAGTCCAAGAAAAAGTTTCAGCAAGTCAGTCCCAGGGTCATAATAAGCCAGGGGTGGAGTCAAGAAAAAAGTCCAACCTCACCAAATGGTAGTTCCCAGCTCTTTCCACCATAACTGCTGTCTCTACCAGGGCCTGAACTTGAGATTCAAACAGGTACATTCTCATTCCACTTCCTATTTGGAACATTACAGCCAAGTCTGAGCCCGTTTAAACCACAAACTCCGGGGGAAGAAAGCCAACTTATCTCCTGCATGCACCTTCACATTCCTATCCCCAACCCTCCCGTGATGCAGAGTTCCCCACCCAGTGAACACACACAGACCCACCAATGGGGAACTTCTCTTTGAAAAGTGCTTTATTTCGACAAGCTCTAAGTCAGGTGCATTAAAACATATCAAAATGTTACAGAAATTAACAGCTCCCTACTGAGGCCTTGTCAAATTATGTTAAGATACCTAAACGCATCCGTTTATAAGTTCAGAACCAAACATTGAACCAGGTCATGTACCATTGCTGAAAGGCAAGTTGTAATTAAGAAAAGAATACTTCACAAAACTAAAACAAGCTAACACAACCCCTAGGAAACACTAGCAATTACACACCAGAAACCATCAGCCTGGGAAACAGGTCAGCCAACTGCTGGGAAGACTCCAAGGGTAAACTGAGGCTTTCCCTTCACAGCTTGTCCATGTCTTGTGCTCAGTTAAAACACAGGGGGCGCTGTAACCTCCTGTGAAGGGTAAAGGCTTTCAATATGTCTGAAACAAAGGGTGCAATATTTGTTTTTATTTCTACCTCTCTAGGAGGTCATGTCTCATCTTATCTGCCTCAAGCAAGATTGTATAAAACAATTTAAGTAGAGACTTGAAAATGCACTGCTGCATCAGGGACGCTCAGGGAGATCTCTGTCTCCTATCTCAGCACCCACATCATGGTTTGGTCGCCATGAGACACTGAAATTCCCTTGTTCATATAGAAATCTCTCTCGGAGATATATCTATGACACTATGTTCTCTGTGTTACAGAGCTTTGAATTTTTTTTTTTTTTTTAAAGGAGCTTGTCTTTTCTTAAGAGAGCTTCTTGCCCTTCTGTGGCCCATTCCACTCTCCTGACACTCCGGAATAACCACACAACTCTGCAGAAAAGAATTCTTGCCAAGACGTTTTTGCATCGGAGAATTTTTTTTTTTTTTTTTTTTGGTCATTATATGTCAGTCTTATCTACACTGATGATAAGATGTCTTTATCTGGAGATCTCTAGGAGAGAGTATTGTTTTCTTTCTGGTCAGGAGGAGGGAAGGGTGAAAATATTTCTCCTTGAAGTCTCAGACCAAAACCTCAACCTCAGGTCTCAGCATTCTTCCCGGGGATGGGTGGCTAATCTGACACCCTCTTGCCTCCATTTCAACTCCGAGGTAAAGTCAGTCCAGCCTGGAGACCACTGTGCACACTCCTCGCCAGCCTGCACAGGCAAGCCTAGCGTTTGTGCTTCTCAGTCCCTCCCCAAGGGACCACCCCCCTACCCCCCAGCCCCCTTCATTTAACTCATCACCTTCCCACTAATGTGATCACTGAAAATGTGACCTTGTGCTTACTTCCACCATCACCTGGGGGAAGGGAACCCCTTCCCAGCCAGATGGCCTCAGGTTTTTCCTTCATTTGATCACCTTGTAACAGAAGCCCAGGAAAAAGAAAGCCAGATGCAGCTGTACTGCTTTTCACAAGTTAGGAAAAATACCCTATAAACTGGCCTTTTGTTCTTCACACGATTTCAGGTTCATTGCACGCAATTACATAAACCCACACAAACGAGTCGAGGCGTTCAAAGCTGCCAGGCCATGTGATACCAGTGAGAAAATCCGGCTCCACAGGGCGGCAAAGTGTCTGTGTTTCAGCCGCTGCTATTTCAAAGAACCTTTCCAAAAAATTCCTGATCGGGGTATTAGGACGTGCGAAATGATCTCTAAACGGGGTGGGCCTAAATGGAAAAGTGTGGCTTGCATTAAAAGGCATGTGTCGTGTAAGATACGATTTCCCCTCACTTCCATCCCCATCCCTCATCTTTAAAACGCCAAGTCTACCTTAGAATCACTTTCTCAGAAAGTGATCGGGCAGACCTGACATTCTGCAACATTTCCACATTTAACGCTATCGTAGAGCTAGTGCAAATTAAACAGAACTTTCATAAACCAAAAATAGCTGTCCAATAAAAGTTAGTGGTTAGTAATTTGCTTTGTGAAAATTTTTCTCCCTAACTCCTCGAGGAGAATTACTGGGGCCAACGAAGGCTTTGAACATTCAAAATAAAAATAACTGGAAGAGAAGTTTTCCAAGTCATTTTCTCAGATGCAAAACTCAGGAAGTGTGCTCACATTCACAAAACGGCTCTTTCCATCTGCGACAAAGGAAGCCTCTCAGCCCGCCCCGGATTTTTCCTGTGCGTTTTGCAGAAGCCCACGGAGGTGTCTGATCAAGACTAAGGCCCTCCGGATCTCCAGCCCATGTCCCACGGGGCTGGCGGTGCCGTCCCCACAGAGGAGGGAGGCTTCCCAAGATAGCCCTGGCAAAATGCCAGGTGGCAGCACACCATCCTTTTGAAAGGCAACAATGAGACCACAGCTGGGAGCCATCTAAGGAGGCCATGGAGGCCACAGGGGCCGGTAGGGGCCAGGGGGTGCCTGGGGCAGGAATGGCTCCGCTGCAAAGGTCCACCTTCTTTGCAGGCACCGATTAGTGGCTCTCATTTCCTCAACTGCCCAGCTCTCCAAACCTTCCTTGGAGAGGATGTGGAGAAGAGATGCGGAGCCCCTACCCCAACAAGGCTCAGAGACACCTGCTCTTAGGAGCTGCTGGCCTTGCTTGGTTGATCTCTACAGCCAGGCACCCTGCTCCAAGCATCTCTGTCTCTCTTCAAACTGTATCAGCCACACTGGCTCTGAGCTACCTGGCAATCTTCCTGATGGGGGTGACAGGGGACAGAATGTCCCTGCCCTTTCCCCCTATTGGGGTCTACTCTAAAGATCACCCAGGTGGCTGCCCAGAGAAGCTCCATCCTCCCTATGCACCTTCACAGGGCAGCCCAAAGAGCCTCCTTGAACCCCACACTCGGTCAGCAGCAGGCCGAGTCCTCATTTTTGGAGTCCACCTTGATGCACAAGGTGAGAGCAATTTGCAAGAATCCAGAGGTTGGAAAGAATAAAGCCTTGACTTCAAACACATGGCCTCAACTCGAAGTGCAGGAAAACCCCTTGTTGATATGAAAACCGGCTGGGGTCACAGGCACCTGTCATTTCTGCAGGAGCTTCTACACCTCCTAAGGAGGGAAACTTCCTGGCCACCTCCAGCCCCCAGAACAAGGCCAGGCCCTGGCTGTGCTAGCCAGACTCTGCCATGTGCAAACCAGTGAGAACTGTTTCAGGAGACCCTTCCTTCAACTCAAGGACGTCTCGGAGAGTTGGGATCTGCAGCTTGGCATGCTGAAAGAAACATCAGGCTCCCCTCCTGTCTCCTAGAGGTGGCCACAGAGGGGAGGATGGAGGCAGAATCCATTCTCTACAGACATCCACACACATTATCATATACGTCTTTGTTATTTAAAACAATCGAAGTTTCCAGTGTAAAAACCTGTGGGTTTATTGCATCTACCCCACTGCTGGTTTATTTTTCTCTTTCTGTTGGACCTACCCCAAGGGCATGGGGCTGTTGTTTTGTTAATTTCCAAAGCTGTCACATTACCGATCCATTACCGATCCCTGTAGGCATACAGGGAGAATCTCTACCAACACATAAATACCCCACATGGTGAGCTTGCTGAGCCCCCTTCCCCTTCTAAACGTGGGCAGATGTGAATGGCTGCTCCCTGGCACTCGCCGGGAGAGATCTTTTCTTCAGCCTAAAACCCTTCAGATCTCCCCTGATTTTCCTGCCCATGAGCAGCACATCTGCCAGTCACGGGACTTGTGCTGGTTGCTTGGAATTTAATTGCATGTGAAAATACCAGGTAGGCACGTGAATATGTACCATGTGTGTGCACGCGTGCACAGGCGCATGCGCACACACACACACTTTGGGTCCTCCCTATAACAAAAATCAAAAGTCCTTGTGACTGAAAGAAAGAAGCGCAGGGATCCAAGGATGGGGAGTTGTCTGCTGGCTTCTCTATCCTGCTCTAGGCAGCAAATGGTGGCTTTTCGGGAGCTGGAGAGGTTTACATTGAAACGGTTCCACGGAAGGAAGGCGCCCAGCTTCCTGCGGGTCTTCTCATGTCAACAGCGGCCCCTGTGGTGTCTGGATCCCCTCCTTCTTGTGGCTCAGATTGTTGCTGGGGTCTCAGCTATCTCCTCCAGCCTCTGCCGAATCATTAGCCGGAGCACGGTGTACCTGGGGATGGAAACAGCTGCGGTGGAGAGCAGAAAGCAACACACACCTCCTCTAGATCCCTCCCTGCCACTGGGGAGCTGTGTGGGCCGACCGTCCTGTCCCTTTGCTTCTATCACTGGCCCACTCTTTAGCTACTTTATTGCTTGTGTTCATTTCCACAACAGGATGAGAGGGACTGAAGATGCTAGCTCCAAACTAGATTCTTTTACACTCATGCATCGCTTAACGGGAATATGTTCTAAGAAATGCATCGTTAGGCGATTTCGTCATAGAGTGTACTTACACAAACCTAGATGGTATAGGCTACCACACACCTAGGCTCTATGGTACTAATCTTATGGGACCACCGTCATATATACAGTCTGTCGTTGACGAAAACATCGTTATGCAGTACACGACTGTACTAGGGTTACAGAGTCTGGGAAAAGAAGGATAAGAAGGTGAAATAACAATAATAAGGGTTCCATTAACTGAGTGCTTACTATGCCCAAGATGCACAGTACTGTATAGGCACAGTAGCATGTAATCCTCACCTAGGCTGGACCATAAGAAATTGGAATTATTTGATCATTTTAGGGGGCCTACAAAAATGGTGACTTCAGATGGCTCAACCTAATAGCAGTAGCTGCATTTTGCAGAAGAGGCCATAGTAACCACCAGGCGTGGAGGTCCACGGCTTGTGGGTGAGTGCAGTTTTCCCATCCTTCCCTGACTATGGCAATGCAGACATTGCAGTGGGCACCACTAAAGGGGACATTGCCTATGTTCAGCGCATTGCACTGCACAGCAAAAGCTATTTTTAAAGTTTGGTGCACAGTAAGTTCAATAAATGATCAATAAATGTTAACTGCTATCATACTAGTTATTATCATCGACACAGCAAAGATAGTATTGGCTTTATTCTCTAGTGCCAAAAATCAATCAATTGTTCTGCCATATGCATGGAATGCAGACAGCTTTATGACTACATGTAGCAAAGAAATCATAAAATCTTCCCCAGAGAGAATCTTTACTGGACTTTTCAAACCAAATGCAATTTCCAGGAGAGAAATGTTAAAAAGGGAAGAAGGGTACAAGGCAAGGATTTCAGAGGTAAGCTGCTCAGACTACTCTCCACTGACAACCTTCCTGAAATCCTGGGGACGTTTTTATGTCCCACATCAAAATGAGAAGCTGACACCAGAAGCAGAGAGACAAACACACTGAAGTTCTGTGTCCCCATCTGAGATCCAGATTTGTCAGCGAGAAGCCCCCTGAAGAAGGTCCGTAAGACCCAGGCCCATGTGGCAGCTCAGCACAGTTCCTGCAAGGCACCTGAACAGAGACCCTCTCCCTGAGGCCCCGGGGAAACCCAACCAGCCACCCGGGGGCCACACTTACTTGCGTATCAGCTTCTTTACTTCCCGATCTTCTTCCTCTTGGAGCTTCTGAATGAAGCTTTTAAGGACAGGCATCTCGAACTTTATATACTGGGCCACCTGGGGAGGAAGAAGTAAGTCTGGGGTGCATGGCCCCTCCAAGCATTATTCCAATTCCTTTTGGCATCTCTCTCCTGTCAGACACAAAGCCTTGGGAAATATATTTCTACATTAATCCGGGAATTCCTTAAAGGCAGGAGCCAAGCCTCATTCTTCTCAAGGCTGCTATAGAGTCTGAGACGAAGATCACTTCATTTACATGACACATATCTCATAACTTCTCATTTTGCATCTCATGGATCCAATCCATGACAAAGTAATGTCAAACATGGAAAAGCACTTTCTCTTGATTCCATGATGCAGAGAAATACCTGACCCCACGATATTTAATAAACCTCTCTGTTCTCCCCTAAGAGAATGTAAGGAACCATGGCTCAGAATGATGATTTGTGTCTCAAGTCTCAAACAGGCATCCAGTGTGAACTTGCTCCTGAGAGGCTGTGGGGGTAGGAGGGCTCCCAGGTGAGCTGAAGTTAAACAACCGCTCCTCGTCCCCCATTAGAATCCCCAGCTGACTCTATCAACTCTTCTCCACGGGAGAAGTATATTTCTCCACCCTAGTCATGTTGGGCTTGGCTATGTGACTTGCTTTGGCCAACAGAATGTGTGTGGACACGCCATACACCAAATCTGAACGGAGGCTTCAAATGAGCTTACATGGTTTGGACTGGTTTCTTGCACTCCATCCATCCGCCATGAGAAGCATATCCTGGGTAGCCACCGTCCCTTGAGACTGGGTCTCTAAATGAGACATGCAATGTAGACCTGAACTCAACCCACAGCCTAGAGCAGAGCTATCTGCTATCAGCCTGCAGAATCCTGAGCAAAAAAGTCAATGTTTGCTCTTGCAAGCCACGTAGATTTGGGGATGTTTGTTACTGTAGCAAAAGCTAACTAATACATAAGATAAGGTAAAATCACTGCTAACTTTTTGAAGTTGTTAAGAGAGGGTTTGCAGAAACTTCTTGGCCCTCTTACAATACCCCAGAAAGGCTCAAGACATTTACTTCTTCTACGGAAATCAGTTTGTGCCTGAACATTCCTCAAACAACTCCCACAGAGCACACCCTCAACCTACTGTCTGCATTTATTCTCTTGGCCCTGTGGCCATTACTGTCTCAAGAAAACCTTGTATTGAGGAATGGCAGCAAAATGGAGCACGATCCTTGGCCAAAAAGTCAAGCTATACCCCAGTTGCAGGCAACCCAACCAAATCCCCACTCTCCTGAGGAGAGACCATCTGATTTGAAAGGGGACTCACATCATAGGTGACTTCCTCCACCTGGTCCTTCTCCATAAGGAACACTTTGGAGACCTGCTCACATGGGCCCTGGAGGATTCGGGCAATCAGCGGGTAATCGGTGTTCTTCAGCTTCTGTTTCTCTGGAACCACACACAGCCAGGAGCAGCCCTGAGTTTGGCCTGAGGCCTTTCTCACCATAAGTAGTGGTCAACTCAAGGGCTCAAATGGACCAGGCACTTTAGGAGATGCGGCCATACAAGTCAGGAGACTGATTTGTGAATGAACAATTCAACAGGTGTTGTTCAAAGGTGTTCCCTCTTCCCTCCCTCCTCTCCCCAGCAATACCATGCCTCAAACCCTTTGGAAGATGCCGCATTGGATGAATTGATTTTATTTGTCTCTCAAGAAAATCTAGCTCCTTTTTTAATGGGCAGTTAGGTTTTACTGTTTGTTTACTGACCGTATATGGCATTCCCCAGTGACCCCTTCCACCCCCCTTCCCCAGGGACCCCAAAGCCCACCAGCTTTGGAGGCAAACAACATTTGGAAATTTCCAAAACCCAAACAACAAGTGAATGAGGCAGAGGTATTTTTTTTAACTTGCTATTTTGAGTTAATTAGAAGTTTTAAAGTACATTGTGTTCTTCAGACTTACCACCACTGGTGTGGACCACGTACAAAGCAAACTCCTCCGCCGAATTCTCGATCTGGATCAGGAGCAAAAGATAGTTGCTGAAAGCATGCATTTACACATCCTAACTCTGAGCCATCCCCTCTTCTCAAACACTGCAAAGCTTAGTAGATTTTAAGCTCTTTTGAGGGGAGGGCTGGCTATTTAGCTACATCTCTCAGAAGTGATGAGGAGATGGGGCAGCAGGTAACTTTATCAATAATAATAGACAATAAGAGCTAACAGTTGCTGTAATGTGCCAGGCACAGTTCTTCACACTTTCCATGTTTTAACTCATCTAATACTCACAACAACCCATAACAGGGTCCCATTATCTCATGTTACAGATGAGGAGGCAGAAGGACAGGGAGCTTCAGTAACTTGCCCAATGCATCCAACCAGCAGGTCATGGGTGGGGATTTGAACCCAGGGCCTGTGCCCATGGGTCACTAGGTGATACTGGCTTCCATTAAAAATAAGACTGCCTGGTGGCACAAGCGGTTAAGTGCACGCACTCTGCTGTGGCGGCCCGGGGTTCACCGGTTCGGCTCCCAGGCGCGCACCGACGCACCACTTGTCAAGCCATGCTGTGGCGGCGTCCCATATAAAGTGGAGGAAGATGGGCATGGATGTTAGCCCAGGGCCAGTCTTCCTCAGCAAAAAGAGGAGGATTGGCAGATGTTAGCTCAGTGCCGATCTTCCTCACAAAAATAAATAAATAAATAAGACTACCTGGTCTCCAAAAGACTTAGAAGGGGATTATGGAAAACACACAGAGCAACAAGACTTTAAAAACACTCATGCAGTATAATTTGCACATCTATTGAATGTTCTTTTTTCAAAGTAGGTTCCCCGACTGTGTTCCAGAAGTCAGTCTGTGCACAGAGCCCCGAACCAGTCATCAGCCCAGGATCCTTCTAGCACGCCGTAAAGCACCCGAGGGCTGTGGCTCTCAGAATTCAGCGGCACCAGCATCCCCTGCGAGCCTTGTTGCGCAGGTTCCCTGGCGTCCCCTCCACGCTTCTGATTCAGTGGGTGTGATTCGGGGCTGGGGCCTGAGAACCTGCTTTTCTAACAAGCTCCCAGGGGATGCTGATGCTGTGGGGTTTAAAGCTCTGCCCAGGGTCCCCGTCACACACACTCTCCGGGGCCCTCACCTCCACACCTCTGGGGACCCCCACGGCGCACGTGCCGCCCCTCTGAGGCCAGCCAGGGGTGGAAACTTGCCTTAAATTTGTTGAGCAGCAGCTTCAGGACCTGCGGAGTGGTCATGGTGCTGTTGATGCGGACGTTGGTGACGGAGCCATAGGCCGGCGTGAACACCGACGTCTGTCGATAGAGGGGTCCGGCTCAGGGTGAGAGTGGAGACAGGGACGGGGCACTAAAACCCAGGTGACCTGGGGTAAAGGGCTCGGGGACAATGGTGCTCGACCTGTGCTCCCTGACAGTCCCCTGACAACCTGGCACTCATCGGGCTTTGATGTCGTCAAAGAGCCCTCAGCTTCGCCTAACTCAGGAGCTTGAGGGGTCCGAGCCTGGTGTGTGGCAGGGTTGGGGAGGGGGGATAGGACAGAGAAGGGAGGCCTTCTCTCCCAGTACAGCACGCAAAAGACCCTTCCACAGCGACCTCAGCATGCAGAGGTCTCTGACCACTCTCCCAAGATGCACTTGCTTCAGGGGCCAGATTCAAACCAAGCAGCAGGAGGGAAGGAAGGTCAGCTGGCTTGGGGTGGGGAGCAGTGTACAGACACCCCCAGATCTGCATCCTGCAGCTCTGCTTTGGGGGCAGCCCTTAGCTCACAGAAAAGTCAGACAGCACAGCAGCCAGGAGGGACACGGTGAGGAAGAGGGTAACGCATGGACTTGCTGGGGGCAGGGGGGTGTGCTGACGGGGGCGGTTTGTGGGGTCATCTCACCCCCTACCTACGGGGGCTCCTGATCTGGGGGTCCCTCATCCCTCACAGAGCCAGCAGAGCCTGCAGCCCACCCACAACCCAAAGACTGAACGACAAACAGAGGTGACAGACACTTCTGAGGTGGCAGCTGCCCAGGAAGGGGACTTGTCCACCTTGGGGCTGCCCCCGCCTCCTGCCACCCTGTCCCCTCTACCTTGTGGTTGTAGAAATGGCCATTGATGGAGAAGCGGTGGCGTCTGATTCGCCGCTGATCACTAGGTGTCCTCACATTGCCACGGCGACGCACCCCAACATCACTGCGGGTGCGCATCAGCTGTGGGGTGTCTTCCTGCACAGGCTTCAGGCCCCTGGAGTCTGAGAGGGAAGGCGATGAGCTCTGTGTGTCTGGACCCAGGATGTGGCAGTCTGCATATGGCATGGCCAACACCACCTCCCCCAAAAGATATTTCATAAAAACTGTGTTTCCTTTTGGGGGGAAAATAATGCATAATTTACTGAGAAATAATGCAGTTCAGAGCACAGATTTCAGAGCCAGACTCCCAGGTTCAAATCCCAGCTCTGCCACTGCCATACATCACTCACCTCTCTGTGCCTCAGTTTCCTCTTCTATAAAATGGGCATAATAATAGCACCCACATCACAGGATTGTTGTGAGGGTTTAAATGAGTTAATTTACATAAAGTGCTTAGAACAGTACCTGGCACAGGATAAGCACAATATAAGGACTTGTAGGATACTGCAAGCTGACAATATCTATCAAAATTATAAACACACAGCCTCAGACCCAGAAATTCCACTTGAGAGAACCCTACAGACATTGACAAATGTGTGAAATGACACGTGTACAAGGGCACTGACGGCAACCTTGTTTGTCACAGCGAAAGACTGGAAATGACTTAAATGTCTATCAATAAGGAGCGATTAAATTACCATTTTCCCATACAATGGACACTGCAGAGTGGTAAAGAATGCAGAAGTTCTTTACAGATTTGTATGGAACAATCCTCAAGACAAACTAATAGAAACAGGGATGTGCAAAATGCTACCACTTATATACAAAGGGGAAAAAAAGAGATGACACTCAACCATAAAGGTTTGTTGGTGTGTATTTGCAGAGAATATCTTAGGAAGGACGCCTTCAGGTTGCTTCCAGGGAGGGAAACTCGATGGTGGGTGGAAGAGATAGGAGACTTTTAATTCTTTTTAATACTTTTTGAATCTTGAACCATGTGAATTTTATTTATTCAAAAAAATGAGTAACAGTGTACAGCATCTACCACATCAGTCTTCACACAGTCGGCCCCAACCAGAGGTCCGTCCCACCACACAGGTACCTGTGGGGCTCGTGGCCTGGTCCCTCTCGGGCGGGGCGTCCACCTCTGAGATCTGAATGTTGGACATGGTGAGGGGCTTCAGGATGGTGCTGGGGGGCAGAAAATAAACAAAAGAGAGATTGGCTCAGCCCCTGTGGGAAGAAGCTCCCCCTCCCACCCCACCCTACTCCTGCCAGGGGAACACTCGGCCTGTGCCAGGCTGGGCACCAGCACCCATCAGGCGATGAAGGATTCAGGTGGGCTGCACCGAGTGTCCCATGAGGCTGGCCCAGCCCCGGGCTGAGCACTAGGTGGGGAGGGGGAGTTCTGGAGGGAAAAGATGCTCCTTCCCAGCATCTACAGCAACACAAGCACCTGATTCATCAAGCCCAGGATGGAGAACACCAAAGAACAAAAACTGTGTATTGCCTGCACTGAGTTTCTAAGCACAGACGGGTTCTATAGCTTATTTAGAAAACCCTAATAATGGCCATTTATTTCTCAGGACAAGATTCCAGCTCAGATCCACTTCTGTTGGAGGAATAACTCAGAAATCGCTTCCAGCATCTAAAAGGAAGGGAAAGTAATAAGTTGGCTGCGATGAGGGTCAGGGTAGCTTTGGAAGGGGCAGTGACGACAGTGTCGTCAGGGTTGCAGGGACAGAGTGCTCAGCCAAGCTGGAGAAAGGGCTACAAGCAAGCAGTCTGAGCTGAGACCTGGTGTCACCGTGATCACTGGCAAACAGCTTCTCAAAGCCAAAAAGAACAGGGGGAGCAGCTCAGAGGAACACACCCAAAGTTAACAGAGGATTTGGCCAGAAAGGAGAAGCATATTTAACCAATTAGGACCATCCCACAGTGAGAAGAGTGTGGGCTTCCTGGGACCCAGTAGAGATGGGATTCATGGCCCAGGAATGATAGTTTTAAGGAAAGACAATTAAAATTGAAAATCTGAAAGAAGTTCCAATTGTAGAATAACTTGTGGATTTCTGAGCCCCCGGAATGGAAGTGGGGAATGAGCCTCTCGGGAACGGCAAACACTTGGCACCCACAGTGGCCGCTGCCCACTCCCTCGTCCAAAGCTCTCTCTCTTGCCAAAGCAGAAACTGGTCTCAGCATCCTTCTTAACACAGTGGTGCAGGCATTCACTTCATTATAGCAGGCACCTGGATAACATTATTTACCATTCCTGAAAACTCTCTCAAAGTATTTGCAGGTTTCAAGAACGAATCAAGACCGCTTGACGCCGCAGGAAAGGGAAAAGAAACAGGCACGCAGAGTGAAGGACCCCTTAGCAAACCCAGCCAAAGGCCACACAGTCAAATGGAATTTTAAAAATCGTCTTACTTAAGGAACAGAATGTAACATAGTCTGGGGTCAGCGTGGGGTGCGGAAAGGGCTTGGCCCACCGGAAATCAAATACAGCAGAAGTGCTGAGAGCAGAGCAGAGTGTGAAACCAGCGAAGTTAGACGAAACTGAAGAACCTTGACCGGACATCCCGGCGTCCGATGGGATGGGCAAAGACCTTCCTTCTTAATTTCCCTTGGAAAGAAACCAGATCAGGGTTTGGCTACATTGTAGGATTCTCTCAACTTTACAGAAAGATAGATTTGGCTGTGGAGTTTAACAAAACGTTCAATGTGGCCAACAGAGAGGGCTTGGTTCTTGTTTAAAACAGAAAAAAACATCACTGCGGTTTTGGCTGAGAGCTTGGCACCCTCCACCCACACTCTGGCCCGAAGGCTGTCAGCATCAGCAAGTTTCAGGACGGAACAAGGCTAGTCACTTGAGCCTAAAAACCGAAGTCCCAGAAAGACAGTAGAGGGTGTGCTTTCCTAGATGCATTCGGCTACTCGTTTGGCAGTGGAGGGAGGAAGAGGCTCGGTCTTCATAGACCGATAGGCCCCATCTTCTGATGCGGACTCGGAGGAGGGGACCGCGCAGACTACGGACCATCAGGCCGCCACCCAGCTCCAAGTATGGCCTAAAGGGAGCAGACCCCTGGCTGACCTCGCTTGGCTGGCTCCAACAGGGCCTGACATTCCTTTTCTTCTCCTAGGTTCCCCCAAGACATGAGCTTTGGTCAGAAGGTTTGAGCCCTAAACGTGTCTGGAGTAGGGTCATTCTTTGAGGAGTGGTCCTAGAGGGGAAGATGCTGGGGCATCAGGCATCCTGTCAGAAATCTGCAGGCTGGGCCTGGCCACTAGCACTACCCCTCAGAGACTTGGAAATTCTCCTTGAGAAAGGACTTGCGGCTCACTGATGCCTTGGTGCTTTCCCTCTCTGACTCGGCATCTCCCCTCCTCACTCTGACTCCCACTGAGTGATTGTGGTGACAGGCATGGAGGTCCATTCACACCAATGTCTGCCCCTTTCTCCTCATCCCAAGCTCAGAGCAGGGGGCAGTGGAGGTGGTGGGAATGGGAGCTGAGGTCAAGGCTTGCTGGAAGAAGGTGCTTGAGAACACACAGAAGCCCCAGATACCCCCAGTCACCCCCCAGTCCCATCTCTCCTCACCCCTGAGCCCCCAAGTTACAGCCAGAGTGCCAGGAGGAAGAGGACGGAGGAGGGCGAATGCGCTCGTTGTCATCCTGCATCTGCAGACGAATGGGCCGGCGCAGCCCCCAGGAGATGTTCAGCAGTCCCTCCACGATGAACTCGTCTTCTTCCTGCCCACAGAGCAATCAGCACAGTGAGCCCAGAAAAGCCCCACAGAAGCCAGCACTACGTGGCGGGACAACTGACAGCATCCTCGATGTGTCCTAGCTGGGCGCACCCAAGTTATATTCACACCCCAACCCTGAGACACACCCCACTGTAACCTACCCCTGAGCGCCTGAAGCTGACCACATAGGCCATCATAAAAGTTGCCTCGAAATTCAAATATACATGTGCAAATTATAAAAGTGGGTTTTTTTTGTTTTTATATTAATGACTTTAAAGAAAAAAGAATACATCTCTTAAAGTAAGTGACACTAGCTTTGCTAACAGAAGCAAGAGCTAAATTCTTGAATTAGCGCCTTTCCCTTCACCTACCGTGGAAAGTGATGTGTCTTTAGCTATAACATATGTTTAGCCATCTGACCTGCTGGTTGAAGGAGATTTAAAATAACCTTTCCCCAGGTTTATTTTAAAAAATACTAGCTCCTCTAGCAGATCAACTGTTATCTTAAAAAAGGCTGTCAAGTGATCATGAGTTGGGAGATGATGTGTTAATCAGATTTCTTGACAGTAGAACTTTCCAGAGCCTATAATTAGCTAATGTGTTACATTATGACTCTCCAAGAGGTGAATAAATCTTGCAAGAACTCCATATTTATACTCAAAAGTTGTTGACTGATAAGAAGTTACATGCGAAACCCATCTAAGGGTATTTGCATGTTTTATCCCAAAGAAATGGATCTCATTTATGACCATAAAACCCTTTAATCATCGAGCATCTTGAGAATTTATTCCATAGGACACACCCCAGAAAAGCTGTTTAAGGACCAAAATCTTGCCAATGGCCCAGCCACTAATTAGTAGAAGCCTTGAGGACGATGCCTGAAATGGTCAGGCCTTCTTTCCCAAGTCTCAGAAAAACCTTTCTGAACCCATGTTTTATGGGCAGACATCAGACCTGGGCCATGGCCACGTCTTCAGGACAAGCTGTCCAATAAACAGCTAACCCGGGTCCCAGGATCATCCCAGGATTCTAGGCTGATCCTGGGCCCCAGGTTAGAGAGGGACGGGGGAATAAAAGAAGGCAGGAGAAGAGTGGAACAACTTTAGTGCATTTGGGGATCTTGGAGAGAAAGGCTTTATTTAAGCATAGGCTACATATATGGCCTTCTAGCTAGTCAAGGCTGGCACCATTACTTTCATCACATTATTGTAGGACCGAATTTAACCCAAATGGGACTTTGCCTAAGTGGACTGGTTTGAGGGACACAAAAAAGGCCGCTGCATCCCACATACTATCCCCAACCAGCCTGTCTTAGTAGGTGAAATTCTACCATCTGGTATCTGTTTCTATGGATTACATCGCCATGGCTTGATAACCTGAAAAATGTGTTTAGAAGGGTATTACACACACCTTCTTATCAGTCAAGAACACTTGAGTATAAGTTACTCTACCAGGCTTCTATATAACTCACCATCTATCTGATAGGAGGCTTTACAGAAATGGATACAGGATGAGTAAGCTTAGATTCAGGACAGGGGCTGGGGAAAGACAGATGGATAACAAAGGGCATTCCAAGAAGGCACCCTAGGAAGACTGCTGCAGTTGTGGGGAAGGACCAAGAGTTACCTCCCAGAGCTTATGTGGCTTGCCTAGATTACTATGGCAATAGGACTGGGGCCCAGATGTGTAAACACAGAGGACTGGATAAGGTTCCTGAATTAGCCAAGAAGAGCAAGCCAGCTTGAGAGCCATCTGAAAGGGTTATTTCAAGAAAGCTTCCCTTTGGAGGACCCCCACTCTGAGGCTGGTGCTAGCCCAGCCACATACCCACAGGAATGTCTCTGGAACAGAAAAGCTCATCCCTTTTCGAACAAAACTGGACCTGGGGTCTCCTTCCAAAGATCTCCAGGGACTCCCACTAACATCCTAAATGAGAGGCCACTCAGTGTGGCAGGAGGGGCAGGGATCCTCAGACCAGGACACGTGGAGACAAAGACTGGGCTGGCCCAGCAGGGAAGGAGCTAACAGATCTTCCCCGGGGACTCCGTACCTCACGGTGTCGGAGCTGCAAATTCTGGCCTTCATAGTACAAGTTGTAGGTCTTCAGATGCAGGAGAAGTTCCTTCCTTAAGGGAAAAATACAAGAGGTGTGACATTCTCAGCTGGAGCCACTTAGAATGCAGTCGCACCCTCTTTTTCTCACCTCTAACCTGGCCTCAGTCTCCCCAGTCTGGGTGTTCATCCACACGTGTGTACACACGTGCCCGCACACACACACACACACATACACACACACAGAGTTCTGCCACCACCCTCATCACCATCTTCCCCCAGGATCAAGGTCAAGAATAAACACTACCTAGAACAGACTGAATGTGAGGAGCAACTCCAGAAACCAAGGCAGGCCCGGTCTGCTGGTGCACGCTGGCAGCTCTGCCAACACTCCCCAAACCCAAGCTAAGTAAGCAGGCCTTCACAAGTCACAGATTCGGAGAGGCAAACGCACTTCAAAGCCCACCCACAGGGTTTCCCTGGCTCTCCACAGCCTTTCCTCCCTCACACATGCTGTGAGTTAGGAAAGGACAGTTAACTACAGACCTTCGCAAGACTCAGAAACTTCTAGGCTTTCCAGAAAATTCAAAGGAATAGATCTGGCTCCCACTGACTTATGCTTTATAGACATGACCTTAACATGTCTAAAGTTTAAAAACTTACAAACTCCCATGACAGTGGAATGGATGAATAAAGAGAGCTACAGTCACACAAGGGAATATTATACAGTGATGAGAACACGAATGAACTACACACAACATGGATGAATCTCACAAATATCGTGTTGAGTAAAAGCAGCCAGACACAAAAGAGCACATATCATATGATCCAATTATATAAAGTTGGAAATGGGTGTTGAATTCAGGATAGTGGATCACCTTGGGGAGCAGTGACTGGAAGTGGGCATGAGGGGCTTGTGTATCCTGGGAGTATTCCATTCTAGGTGCTTTTATCTTTTTATTCTATTCTAGGTGCTTTCAGTTTATTAAAAAAAATTTTAACATAAAAACCCCTCTCTGAAGGCTGGTATCAGGCCTCCTTAGCTGCTAAATACTGGTTTCCAGGTGGCCCACCTGGGAGCATAGTTCTACTGAACATGGGAGAGAGAGGGCTCCACACCCTCAGGTTGAATCAGGGTGAGAACAGTCTAATCAACTTTTACCTAAAAGCACATGAGGGCTGGGAGAGGAGAGAGGCTCAAGGAGACTGCTGTGTGCTTTTGCCTGTTCTCAGGCAAGAGGCAACAGGGTTCGGTCCCTCTAAATCCAGCCCCTCAATGGAGAGATCTGGGGACATGCCAGAGGTCAAAACCGCCTGGAAACACCCAGAAACTCCTGACAAGTTAAACCTAGATAAACCGGAGTAATTCTACGTAAGCCGAAATGAATTTGTGAAAAATGTGACTCCAAATAACCTAAAACAAAAGCTGTTTGGTACTTTTGAACGCACAGATCTGAAACTAGGATTTAAGTTACTGGTCAGGAGAAGTCCCTGGGGAAACCCTTCAATGGAGATAAGAATGTGTGTATCTCACACAACTGTGTGTCTCTATGTGGCCAAGTGTGTCTAAAGGACTTAAAACAATTTGGTCTCAGATAAACTAAACACTTAGTTAAGATAGAGAGCATCCAGGACGTACAAATCTCTATGCTGGATATAAAAATATATCCTCACACTTATAGTTCAAAAAAGTCCATTTTGGCTCAGCCCCTGTCACATTCAAGAGATTTTAGTGCATATAAAGTAATGAAACTACTTTGTTCTGTTCAGGAGGCACTTGTGCCATTTTAGCCAGAACCCCAGCAGCACAGGGACACAACCCAGCCAGAACTCACCCCAGGGGACACCACAGACAGGACAGTGAGCAGCCATCACTAACTCTTCCTCCTGGAAGCCCTCCAGGACACCATCTCTTTCGAGCCCCCAAAAGAGCCGTGTCTTCAGGCCCCCCTTTACTTCACTCTCTATGGTCAGGCTCTGGGGTATGTATTTATCTACAGCAGCAACCTTGCTGATGCTCTCACTAGGCCCCACTCAGCTGCTCAGCCCCTTCTCACACATGAGAGCCCAGCTCTCTCACATACAGAAGAGGCACCTCTGCCAGCAGCTTCCGTCCACATGGGACTGGGGACACAACACTATAGCAAAAAATCTTACTTGGAAATGTATTTATCTTGTCCACAGGGGACTAGGGAAGTTTGGTGACTGTAGTCCATTCTTGCTTTCTCTTTTCATCAGAAGGAGAGGCCTATATTTGAAAGGAGAAGACAGAGGTTAAGGTCAGGTTGTGTCCTTAGGAACTCAGCAGAACTCGGGCCAGAGCATGGGGGGCACATGGCTCTCTGTCCCCATCCCAAATCCAAGCTTGGGCAGCTCAACACTGACCCAAGGCTAGTGAGATGCCACACTGCTGGCTACTGCCTCTGCTTACCACAGCCACTGAGGAAAAAGTACTCAAAGGAAAGATGACAACCCCTGAACAGCCCCAGAACAAATGCCCCAGCCACAAAGAATGTTGACACCCAAGTTGGTTGGGAGGATGACCAATTAGTCTTCCCTGAAGGGACTTCCACAACACAGAACAGAGGTTCTTCTGACAGGGAAGCCTCAGATTCTACTGAGGTATACAAAGGATTGGTAAACTCCCCAAAAATGTCCAAATACAGCTGGGCACAATAAATCACAGCATATTTGTCTATGATCACCATTAAAATATGATAATGTAAAAAACATTTAATATATGTAAGCATAAAATATGCATATATATACATTTATATGAATGAATATACATATATTTTCAGGGTTTCTCAAGCTCAGCACCATTGACATTTGGGGCTGGACCATTCTTTGTGGTGGGGGCTGTCCTACGCATTGGAGGATGTTTAGCAGCATCCCTGGCCTCTACCCACTAGATGCTAGCAGCACTGCCCCAGTCATAATAATCAAAAATGTCTGCAGACATTACCAGTGGTTGAGAACACTTGGTGCATATATAGATATATATATGTAAATATATATGTAAATGAATGAAAGGCCAGCTCTCCCTGGGTAATGACATTAGCAGCAATTTTTTTCAAACATTTTATCATGAGAATTTTCAAACATAAACTTGAAGAACTATGACAATGAATAGCCATGTATCCATGGCTATTCTACCATTAACATTTACTATCCTTATTTCATCACACATCTGTCTATCTATACATCCCTTTATCCGTCCAACAATCCAGCCTATTTTTGATGCATTTCAAAGTAAATTACACATAAAACAAGTCTTAGCAAATTTAAGAAGACTGAAATCATACCAAGTATCTTTTCTGACCACAATGGTATGAAACTAGAAATCAATAGCAGGAGGAAAACTGGAAAATTCACAAATATGTGGAAATTAAATAACACATTCCTGAATAACCAATGGGTCAAAGAGGAAGTCAAAAGGGAAATCAAAAAATATCTTGAAACAAACAAAAATGGAAGCATCCATATCAAAACTTATGAGATGCAACAAAAGCAGTTCTAAGAGGGAAGTTTACAGCAATAAACACCTACATTAAGAAAAAAGAAAGATCACAGCCTAACAAAAATGGAAGCACCCATATCAAAACTTATGAGATGCAACAAAAGCAGTTCTAAGAGGGAAGTTTACATCAATAAACACCTACATTAAGAAAAAAGAAAGATCACAGCCTAATTTGTTAAAAATCAACCTAATTTGCTAAAATTTCCTAAAACCAAGGAACTAGTAAAAGAAGAACAACTAAGCCCAAAATTAGCAAAAGGAAGGAAATAATAAAGATTAAAGCAGAAATAAATGAAATAGAGACCAGGAAAACAATAGAAAAGATCAAAGAAACTAAGAGCTGGTTTTTCGAAAAGAAAAAAAAAATTGGCAAACCTTTAGCTAGACTAAGAAAAAAGAGAGAAGACTCAAATAAATAAAATCAGAAAGGAAAGAGGAAACATTACAAGGGATACCACAGAAATACAAAGGATCATAAGAGAGTACTACGCACAATTATATGCCAACAAATTGGATAACCTAGAAGAAATGGATAAATTCCCAGAAACATGCAACCTACCAAGACTGAATCATGAAGAAATAGAAAATCTGAACACACCAATAATGAGCAAGGAGATTGAATCAGTGATCAAAAACCTCCCAACAAAGAAAAGCCCAGGACCAGATGGTTTCACTGGTGAATTCTACCAAACATTTAAAGAAGAATTAATATCAATCCTTCTCAAACTCTTCCAAAAAACTGAAGAAGAGGGAATACTCCCAAACTCATTTTACAAAACCAGCATTACACTGATACTAAAGCAGGACAAGAAAAGAAAACTACAGGCCAATATACCTGACGAATGTAAATGCAAAAATTCTCAACAAAATACTAGCAAACCAAATTCAACAGCATAGTAAAAGGATCATACAACATGATCAAGTGGGATTTATCCCTGGGATGCCAGGATGGTTCAACACATGCAAATCAATAATTAATGTGATATGATACATCACATCAGTAGGATGAAATGATAAAAATCACATCTCAAAAGAAGCAGAAAAAGCATATGAGAAAATTCAACATTCCTTCATGATAAAAACTCCAACAAATTGTGTATAGAAACATACTTCATATAATAAAGGCCAGACATGGCAAGCCCATAGCTAACACCCTACTCAATGGTGAAAAACTGAAAGTGTTTCCTCTGAGGTCAGGAACAAGACAAGTGTGCCCACTCTCACCATTCCTATGCAAAATTGTACTGGAAGTCCTAGCCAGAGCAATCAGGCAAGAAAAATAAACAAAATGCATCCAAATCAGAAAGGAAGAAGCAAAATTGTCTCTGTTTGCAGATGATATGATCTTATGTATAGAAAATCCTAAAACTCCACCAAAAAACTGTTAGAATTAATCAATGAACTCAGTAATGTTGCAGCATACAAAATCAACATATAAAAATCAGTTGTGTTTCTATACACTAACAACAAACTATCTAAAAAAGAAATAAAGAAACAATCCTACTTACAATAGCAGCAAAAACAATAAAATACTTAGGAACAAATTTAATCAAGGAGGTGAAAGATCTGTACACTGAAAATTAAAAGACATTGATGGAAGAAACTGAAGAAGACACAAATAAATGGAAAGATATTCCATGTTCATGGATTAGAAGAATAATATTAAAATGGACATACTACCCAAAGCCATCTCTAGATTCACTACAATTCCTATCAAATTTCTAATGGCATTTTTCACAGAAATAGAAAAAAAACCCCTAATATTCATATGGAACCTCAAATAGCCAAAGCAATCCTGAGAAAGAACAAAGCTAGAGGCATCACACTTTCTGGTTTCAAACTATACTACAAAGCTACAGTCATCAAAACAGTATGCTACTGGCACATAGACCAATGAAATAGAATCAAGAGTTCAGAAATAAACCCATGCAGATATGGTCAACTAATATTTGATGAAAGAGTCAAGAATACTCAATGAGGAAAGGATAGTCTCTTCAATAAATGTTGGGAAAACTGGACACTCACATGCAAAAGAATGATATTGGACCCCTATCTTACACCACTCACAAAAATTAACTTGAAATGGATTAGACTTAACTGTAAGACCTGAACTATAAGAATTCTAGAACAAAACATAGAGGAAAAGCTCTTTGACACTGGTCTTGGCAATGATTTTTTGGAAATGACATGAAAACCACAAGCAACAAAAGCAGAAATAACTAAGTGGGATTACATCAAACTACAAAGCTTCTGCACAGCAAAGGAAACAATCAGTAAAATGAAAAGGCAACCTACAGAATGGGAGAAAATATCTACAAACCATATATCTGGTAAGGGGTTAATATCCAAAACATATAAGGAACTCATACGACTCAATAACAAAAAAAACAAATAATCCTATTAAAAAATGGGCAGGGGAAAATTAACCTGGGAGTGACGCCAGCATCATGGCAGAGTAAGCTATCCTCCTTAGACTCTCCCCCCCAGGATACAACAGAAAAGACATTCATACACCAACAGAAGACATTCACACAACACAAAAGATGTCTGAGAGGCCCACACAGCTTTACATTTGAAGGTGGAGGTGCTGGAACCCCCAGAGGAAGTGGAAGGAGGTAAGGAGAACTCCTCTCCTTCTCCAATGATAGCGACCCTGGGACTGGGACTGCACGGTTCTCAGAGAGAGGCAGGAGGGCTGGCCCTCCACAGGAAAATTGCCGCTCTCCAAGTTCTCTAACAGTCAGTGGGAAATTCCCATATGGAGGGGACTGAACTGTTGAGGGGGTGTCTTCATCAAGCTAGCAACCTACGAGAGGAGATAGCGAGGGAAGAGTGAGAAGCCCCCAGGATCAGACAGGCAAAAGAAAGAGCCCCTCCTCCCGCCCAGCACACCAGCACAGGGGGTAGGCCAGAGCGCCTGCGGACTGCGGCAGGCTCAGAATACACAACTCTTGATTCCTACCCAGTGGTGGAAACTGGAACCTGCAGCCTGATATTTTCAGCATGGGGAAAAATAAGCCCATGCCCTCAAGCAGTATGCAAAAACATATTAAATCTCCAGACCAGAAGGAAAATGACAAGCACCCAGAAATCAATCCTGAAGGCACAGAAATTTATAACCTAAATGACAGAGAATTCAAAATAGCTATCATAAAAAAGCTCAATGAATTACAAGAAAATACAGATAGACAATTCAATGAAATCAGGAACTACTTCACAAAAGAGACTGAAACTCTTTTTAAAGAAAAACCAATCAGAAATGTTGGCAATGAAAAATAGAATGGAGGAGATAAAGAAAAATCTGGAATCTTCAAAGAACAGAGCTGACAATATGGAGGAAATAATTAGAAATATTGAGGATAGGAATACAGAAATGCTCCAGATGGAGGAGGAGAGAGAACTAAAACTAAAAAGAAATGAAGAAATTCTCCGAGAAATATCCAACTCAATTAGGAAATGCAACATAAGGCTTATAGGTATTCTAGAGGAAGAAGAGAGGGAAAAAGGTATAGAGAACTTGTTCAAAGAAATAATAGCTGAGAACTTCCCAAACCTGCGCAAGGAGCTGGAAATACAAGTGAATGAAGTGAATAGATCTCCTAAATATATCAACATGAAAAGACCCTCTCCAAGGCATATAGTAGTAAAGCTCGCAAAAGTCAATGACAAAGAAAAAATATTAAGGGCAGCAAGACAAAAAAAAATTATGCACAAAGGAATTCCTATCA